TGGAGAAGTCCCACTTTGGGTATTTTAGAATAATCAATGCCAAAGTCATGTATGTGCTTCATGAATAGCTTTTGTTTGCCCTCTTGTATCATAGAATGTACCGTAGGTGCACAAATGAATAATGATTACATAACATGAGCACGTATTCATCTCGGTAGGTTTTACAATTTTATCACGGATGACCTTTATCGGCTCATGCACAGATTGTATCTACGAACTGGTCTATTTAAGCGTTTTGTAATTGAAAATAATCAGTACTTCGAATGTTTCCCAGCATTGAATTTTGATAATCTTGTCCAATCAAAGTTTCAACTTTGCAATAATGACAATAAAGTTAGTTTTTAAAATCAATGAATCTTCTTTTTAATCTCGACCGATTCATCGGTGAAATATTTAGGGTAAAAGTCGTTCAGCCACCCCACCCCCTACCACCGCCACCGCCATGGACTTTTTTTTTCAATAAACACCTCAGAAAAGAGAATGCAACCACCTTCATTGTATTTTGAGTCATTCAACATTATTGTTTATGGTGTGGAGGTTTATAAAAGCAATCGAGAAATTCCCCTTTCACAAAGTGATCTCTACACAGCAATAAAACTGAGTTTTTGCTAGGGACCATCGCCCGATAAGCCTTTTGACAAAGTACTAGAAGCATAAACCAAACGAAAATTGCCTTTTCGATATCGTTAATATCCCTGATATTATTTTCTACATAATCATTTCAACGCAAAATGCCATCTCACTCATCTCACTATTCTTTGCCGCTCGGAAACTATTAATTTATGTAAGTCAATAGCAAGGAAAGGTTACTGTCATAACTATAAGGAAATTAATAATCATCATATTATAAACTAAAGAACTTTTACAAGTGTTAATAAGAACATGTAACACTACCACTTACTCAATTAGGCAGACATTGGCATCTCCCTCCTGTAGTGATATCACAAGAGATGGCAGACAGCATATCAACAATATCAGGAGAAAATGGTATTCCATGATGCAACTCTGCTGTATCTCAAATGGAATGTGAGTGGCCTGGAACCTAATAGTCATCGCTTGGATGATTTGCTGAGCAATAGTCGTCACCAGCCAATCAACGCTTCAGTGAGAGAGGGTCCCTATAGTGTATTGGCCAATAGGAATCATCATTAAGATCATAATTCCTGTCTTCCACGCACTTTTCATCTTTCTAGAAGGTTGGATTACCACGATTATGTGCTTCATAAAAAGGGTCTTTTACTTAATGCATGGTCGTACAGAGGATTTTTAATGTTAGGGACCGGGGTAAAATGCAATTAATTATTGAAAATTTATTGCATTTTTTTTTTTTTTTTTTTTGGTGGGAACTGCCCCCTACCCTAGCCTCCGCTGCGTACAGTCACGGTTTAGTGGCCAAGCAATGGCCTCGTAACTATGAGGCCCCAGGATCAAAACCGTGTCGATGTGCTATATTATAGTGCCCTTTTGTGGGGCATTAATCCTCATTGCTGCCATTTATGACTTAAGGGCGTAGGTACCCTAGTTGATAAGCATAGTAGTAGGTATAGCACACCAAAAATAAGTACAACAAACACATGTTATTTGATGATTGCAAATGATCAAGCTTTATGAAAGCTTCAAAAAACAAAAAACAGAATTGAAATCGGTCAATGCGTTGTGATTTTATACCATTTTTTTGAAATCGCAAAATTACCGAAAAACCTGCCAGAAATGGTCAAATTGGCAAAAATGGCAAAATTCGACAAAGTTGACAACTTAAATTCATCCCTTTCTTGGACACAAATAATAAATTAAATTATCAGACACTAAAATATCATCTTTGTGGTAAAAAATACAAAAAAGAAAATTCATATATCTAATACCGTTTTGAAAACAGAAGCCAACAAAATAAATCATTTTTGCCATTTTTGCGAATCTGCAGATATGAAAAAGTTGTGAAAATAACTAAGTCCGCCTAATTAATATGCGCATATGACTGTAATCAAATCAAAACCGAACATGATACATCAGTGAAACCTATGTATATCAGACAGGTATGGAAATATATGAAAAAAAATCATGAATATTCATCAAATATGCAAATTAGGTCATTTCAACTAATTATATATTTGCGCACTCATTATGCGAATTAAGAAAGTCAAACTGTTCATATTTTGGCATTTTTTAAATCATATATTCATAGATCATATTTACACCAAATATTAACCTTAAATTCCAAATATTTTTGCAATGCCAATAAAATATGGCGATGGAAATTACATGGATCACCGTCACAGCTATTTCATCATGTGTTTCACAAATTATTCAGAAAAACCGATCATATGATAAGAATTTGTAGATTTTCAGCTACATCACAGTATATTTGGCTATTTAAAAGATGTCAGATTTGAGGATTTATGACGATTTTCCGAGAAACCATTCAACAGGCCATAACATTCCACAGGAACTGAATTTTAGAGTACCAAAAAGTTTGGTGACCCCAGTATTAAACGAGCTCGTTTTCACTAGCTGCCTGCCGTAGCAACAACTGGAATTGACAAAAGACTTAACTCCGTTTCGTTGATGCTCAGACATAGACGAAAGACTTCATGCATGGCTGATTGGGTTCGATAAGCGCAGCTAATAACGCAACCAAAATGACGCCTCGTGTAAAACGAAACGGGCACTATTATCTGGTATCCTGCGGTAATTTGCGATATTTGCCCTTTAACCTGAAGGTGATTATTGCAGAAAATTCAAGAAGCGCACAAAGGATTTGATTTCTTTTCAGTAACGCTGAAAATGTAACTTACATCCCATGGGAAGGAAAAAATAAACGTGTATAATACTTCAATTTTTATAAATGACTTACTTTGTCATGATTCCAGATCCGCACAGTTTGTTCACATGACAATGTGTTCACTGAAAGGAAGATATCAAAAATAAACAAACAAAAAAATTACTTGAATCTTTCCCAATTTTTATCCATTAATTGTCATCTCAAATTTTTGCTGATTATCTTCCCTCTATAATTTTATCCTATTTCATTACGGACTTCCCATTTATTTTTAGTTAGTATATGCCTCTTCCTGATTTTCTGATCATCAACGGTATCTGATACTCCCACTTTAGGAAATGGTCACTTTCTTTCTTGTAGAATTTTGGTCCCCTGGCATTTAATAAATTGTAATACTTCCCTATTGTCAATTATGTTATTCTATTGTTAATAGTACTGTATTTCAGTGGAGCCTCTCCTTGACGAGTTCAGTCTCGGTTTTCTTACATGATATATAACCTTGATGCATGTCAGGGTAAGCCTTAAATGAGTAGAGGGAGGCATTGTCTTTGCGTTGTGCTGTTTTGTATTGTATTGTCCTGTGTTGAACCGTGTTCTGTATACATCCATTTATTTTATTGATATGATATTATTGTAAATATGTTATGCCATTGAGTTTTATTTGCAATTATAAAAAATAAAAAAATAAAAAAAATAAAAAAAATATTTATATTATATTGACTGGGCATGAGGGGTATATCATAAATATTGACCCAGCTAAGATCATATTGCCACGAGTCGAAGACGAGGGCAATATGGTCAATATTTCTGAAAAAACCCCGAAAGAAGCCCTGTCAATATAATTATTATTACCTAAACAAGGCTTTTTTTAAACAAATTTAAGTTTCTTTGCCTGTATAAACAGGAACCACCTTGGGCACTCTCAAAAATGTGGATAGCAAAACAGAGCAGAGGAAACAGGATAAACAGTTGTTAGCTTGCTTGTTTGTATGTCTGTTTGTTTATGAATGTTTGTTCGTATGTTGGAATTTGGGTCCTAGGGACGCACAGTTTGGGGTGGGTCCTAGTAGCTGACATCTATCGGGGGGAATAATGTTATGACGTTGAGGGGTGTGAGCGGTGATTCCGGGGAGGGGGTGGGGCGAGGAATGGGAGTGTCATTATATTGCTACCCCCCCCCCCCCCCCCCCGCGTAGCGTGCGCGCTGGTAAAACAAATCGAACCGAGAAAGACGATTTTGAAGATTTAACACCTACTTCAAGTGCTGAAAACGACATTGTTCTATGTTCCCTGTACCGAAACTAATTATTGATAATTTTGCTTTTAACTATCTTTCCTTAATCATTATGTAATCTTTCATGTAACATTTCAAATGTTATTGTTGTTGTTATTGTTCTTGTTCTTCTTCTTCTCCTTATTCTTCCTCACTAACGCCTTAAGTTTATTTAAAAATTGATTTTTATTGTTGTAATTTTCTATTAGAACTGGTGAACGTCTAGAAGATCTACTTGCATTGTGATTATGAAGAACCTAGATGTAAACAGAAACAGGACGAAGACAAACGGTAAGGAGCCTTAGAAGAACATGAAAATGAAAAAAGACAAAATATATCAGTATTACCTTTACCAGTTCACTAAACAACCACCTCCGTTACCACCACCACCAATGCCATGCACCTCTACCATAACCAATGCCACCAAAACTATCTCTATCACCCCCGCCAATACCTCCTTCACAACCAACACTATATACTACTACTTCTTCATTCCTACTAATTTTTATCTGTGTCGAAGAGAAAGATGATATCAGCAAGACGCAGTTAACTGTCAAAGACACTACTCAGTCAGAAAAAGTTATGAATGCAACATGTGTACATAAATAAGGAAAAAAAAGAACAAACAGTAATTGTACATAGATTGCAAATGTTCTTCAAAAGAAAACTTTTATTGTAAGATTTTGTTTTATACTGTAAATACAATTTTATTTAACATGATTAAATTCTATATAGCCTGTTTGTTATAAAAGAAGTTTGCCTTCGTCTCTTTGTATGCATTCCAATCAGACAAAAGTCGTCACAATTTCTTTTCTATTTTCTTTTTCAATTTCATCCACTTCGCATTGTGTTCAAAATCATAAAAATGCAAAACATATCAAACTCATACTTTTGTGACAAATTTAATTACCAAGTAGACTGTAATGTACAGTAATTTCTGATAAATTGAGGAAAGCAATATGATTTACGTATATACCTGAGCATCAACACCTAAAGACTGCGTAAATGACACGAACAGTACAGCAATATCTAATTACCGCCCTCCTCACCTTTATACGGAAAATATAAAATATAAACAAAATATTTACAAACGTCTTTTTGATATGCCTAATATCAACTGCACTTTCTCGTAGATAGACACTTCTACCACATGATATTCTACAAAATGGCAATAGTAGAACATGTATATTTACTAGCATGAAGATATACATGTATAGTGGTGGAAAATAGCGTAGCGAAAATCCATTTACTAAAGGTGCCCTTCTTTGTGGGGGCTGAACACCGATCTTGCTCGGCAATGAAATGCGAGAGAACACGGCAATCGAGTGTTGGAGGGTGTCGTACCATCTTATTTTCACACACACAATATCCCTTCCCGTTTCCTTGTCTTTCTCTTTCTTTTTTTCTTTTTCATATACGTCCACCTTATGTTATCAGTTCCTTATATGGGGCGAGACAAGTGCCCCCTGGAGCTACGCCAGAGCTGTTGGAAAAAAACTAAAGGCATTTTCGTAATAACTGGTACGAGGAGGGCTGTTACGGATATTTTCGTCACCCGTCCCCCAAAACAAAGAACAACAAATAAAGAACTCACTAATAATATTAAACCATCTGAGCTGACATTGCACTGATAAGCGAGCACTTTGTGCTTGCTATGAACATAATAAAACCGAAAACAAAAATGGTAGAATGGTAGCGTAGACAATGGTTTATCATATCATCTTGGAAACAAGCCCACTTAATGTATCAATATTTCTTTGGTAAGAACATTACAATCATCTCGTGGACTACAACTTACTCAACTGACAGTTTTCATCATGATTATTATACAAGATAGTATGCAGTAGCAATGAATGAGCAATGTTTGGAACTATTGCCAAACATTTACATGGATTTTCCCGGTGCAGAGTTATTGTAATCGCCTAAAGGGCGAGGCATATTGGATTGAAAAAAATGTACCTCTTTCATCGTTTACCTTGTATGAAAATAAGAAGAGCACTTTTCCACAGGGAATCTTTTGGTCCAATTTGGGTCCAATTTGTTTTAGGAATATAGAGCATAAAGGAGCTACAAACGATTGGGTATTTCATGTAGTTTTTAATTTTTTAAATATATGCTTAGAGCAGCCACACACAATGACTCGTAGGATATTATAAGCTGGATTCCCGCTCGACGATGTCATCTTGTGGCATGCTAACGCTGATGACCTCGACGCTTCCTTCCAAGTACTGCTGACGTGTCTCTCCCGTATCACCATTCGATGTTGACTTCCAATCCGACTGCGATCCCGGTTTGCCTGAATAGTAAGAGAACGAGTCACCTTTTACGCGGGCTGTGTTAATGTGCATGGATTAGCTAGGACAAATGTTCAGAGCATACTCAATGATGATCATTGAGGATTTTGTTGTTGTTGTTGGGGGTGTTTGTTGAATTTAGCAAGCGAGCACATTGATGATGGAGCATCATCCAACATGTTAAAATGTATGAATAAACATTACTAACAGAACACCTCGATGAAAAAACAGATGGTAAAAAAAATGTGATTTTTAATTTTTTCTGCAGTCCCTACCCCCCCCCCCCCCTACCGCCATCTACGCCAGATTTTTGGGATGTGGAAGAGCTTTTTCACCGCCCCCATAGAAGACATTCTATCATTTAAACATTTTTGGCGTCAGCCATTTCCAATTATATAAAAATTCAGGACTTTATGGAATGCAACCAAATTAAACTAATATTGAAGAACAAGAAGAACAAGAAGAAGAACAAGAAGAACAAGAACAAGAAGAACAAGAAGAACAAGAAGAAGAAGAAGAACAAGAACAAGAACAAGAACAAGAAGAAGAACAAGAAGAAGAACAAGAAGAAGAAGAAAAATAAGAAGAAGAAAAAGAAGAAGAAGAAGAAGAAGAAGAAAAAAAAGAAAAAAAGAAGAAGAAGAAGAAGAAGAAGAAATAATATTTCAAATACATGCACTTCTAATTTCCAAACGCAGATGGCGCTAAAGCACTCATTTGGTATCCTCACATCCATCAGCTTTATCAGAAATAAGGGTGTAGTTATGGATTGTACACTTAATTAACCTAATTTACCTAATGAGTTATGATTGAGTTCGTCTGGTTTATCACCATTACTGTCTATCCGATGAGAACGAGCAGCTGTGGCCTTTGGAACACTGAATATGAGGAAGAAATAAAATATGTATTAGATCATAATGATTTCACATGTAATTGATCTCATACCAAAGAGAATAAGGTGCCCAAAACAAACAAAAATTATAAAACAGCAAGACTGCTTCCATGTCGGCTTGATACTATCTAAATCTGAACGTCTAACCTGGAAGCTTTTGCATGTAAATATGTCCAAAATGTGCTTCTACTGTGAGCAAAAAGGGAATAAGTCCGAAATATAAAAATATCACCCTTCAACCTATAAGCTATCAGCTATTACTTTCTCATTCTTTATTTCGTATTACTATCTTGATTCTCGATTTTCCAACTTCGACCCCTGGACCCAACACTGTACCTACATACCTATACCTAGCTCTAACCCCAATCCTGAACCTAACATAAAAAAAAACATTTTTGACCCTAATCCTCTATTTTTAGCAAAATAAAGCCCGGAGCGAATGTTTGAAACCACACCTGTAAATTGCTTGTGGTGGTCGGTGCTTTACTCGTCGAATGACGTAGGCAATGACTGCAACAACAACAAATATCACTATAGCACTCCCGACGGTGACACCAGTGATTACTCCTAACTGGTCTTGTTTGTGTCTCGGCTCTTTGGTCTCAGCAGCAGCAACGTTGAGTACTACCAAATACAGAAGAAGTACGTAATGAGAGGAAAGAAGTAGAGGAAGTACAAAGTATTGGTTTAGTGACATATTTTCGAAAAGGGCCTGACTATTAGTTTCTATTAAATATACTTTTGGAAGTAAACGAGGCGATGGAGCAAACCATTGGAATATGAGAACGGTTATATAATTAGTTTGTGATTATGGTACTAGAAACGATATATGGATTACATATAACACCCAGACCCAGCTGCCAAAATATGATGTGACAATAAATTGCTAAAATTATTGGTAATTTCAAAAATCCAAGGGGAGAATGATTGGTTATATAAATGAAAACCATGTAGCAATATAACAAAACCTTTGTGGTGAAAATAATTGTGTGGTGTTGAACGGAAAATTCAAGGTACTAACATGATTAATATATTAATAGAACAGATTAAAAATGCACGAATGTAGTTTATTCATCATTTAATCAAGTGTAACTTTTCCTATTTTCTTTTGGTACCCCACTTGATAATTTATTATACAATGAAATAATGGCTTTGAACATGTGAAGTGTGATCCCACCTTGGCAGTATCCAGTCTCTGGATCACAGAAGTCAGTCAGCTGACAGTTACACACCGAGCTGCAATGGAGACCAAAGGTACCGTCTTGACATATATCTTTACACCCGACACCTATCCATCCTGGAACACAGTCTATGCACCCAAGGACGGGATCACAAACCCCACCGTTCATACATGCGCAAGTATGGGCACAATCTGGGCCGTAAGTGTCATTGGCGCACAGTTCCTCGCAACTAGGACCAGTAAAACCTGGGTCACACAAGCAGCCAAGTTCCTTATTACACGAACTGTTCGTGCTACAAGAGTCGCATGTCGAAGAACAATTCAGACCATACGTGCCATCAGGACAGGCACTGTTACAATCCTGACCTAACCATCCTGCGTCACACACGCATCCAACTTCTGGATCACAAGTACCGTGCTGGTTACATGCGCATACTTCGGAACAACCGTTACCGAATGTGCCATCGGGACAGCTTTCAGCGCAGTTGGGCCCTCCCCATCCAGCATTACATAAGCATGATCCATCCACCGGATCACATGAACCGCCATGCTGACATGAACATTTCTCTGCACAATTCTGTCCAAAGGACCCTTGAGGGCACTGTTGTCCACAATGCATGCCTTCCCAACCACGATCGCATGAGCACGACCCATCAGCAGCATTACAACGTCCATTTTCTTCACAGCGGCAGAGCTCGGTGCAGTTGGAACCGAATCAGCCTTCTGGACAAGGTGTGGCACAGATCTCCCCCATCCATCCAGCTCAACAGGCACAAGAGCCATCTACGTGATGACAGGCAGCGCCATTTTGACACTGGCAGACAAGAGAACATTGGTGACCATAGTTACCAGAAGAGCAGCTTTCGTCACACAAATCCCCGATCTATCCTTGCTGACAAGTGCACGCCCCATCTATGTGATTGCACTCTGCATCGTTTTGACATCCACAAGGCTCTTGACACATATGTCCATAGTAACCCCTTGAACACGATTCATTACACTGTAAACCGACCCATCCAGGAGGACAATTACACGAACCATCCATTGGATTGCACGATGCGATGTTACGACAAGTACATGCGTCCACACAGTTGTACCCATAATATCCTAGAGGGCATGTTTCTTCACACATGGATCCTATGAATCCAGATTGACAAATACAGAATCCATTGACATGGTGACACGTTCCGTCATTTTGGCACGAGCATGTTTCTTGAAAATCTTGGCCGTAGAAACCCTCTTCACACCAGTCTCCACACGTAGGTCCAACCCAGCCTGGTGTACAGAGGCATGATCCTTCGACATGATGGCAAGCTCCACCATTTTCACAATGACATTGCCCTAAGCATTCACTACCAAAGAACCCCTCAGGACATTGCTGATTACATATGTCACCAACCCATCCGGACGAACAGGTACATGATCCATCGATGTGGCTGCATGATGCGTTTTTCTGGCACACGCAAAGTTCCAGACAATCTTGTCCAAAGAAACCTCGAACACACCTTTCATCGCATATGGCTTCGATCCATCCAGGTTCACAAGTACATGAACCATCGATGTGATCGCATGTACCATCATTTAGGCAATGGCATATTTCTTGACATTCGTGACCAAAGAATCCTTCTCTGCATCTCCCACCACAACGCCGTCCAGTCTAACCAGGAGTACAAGAACAAGACCCATCGATGTGACTGCAAATTCCACCATTTGCACATCGACACTGTTGGAAACATCCAGATCCGAAAAGTCCAAAAGGGCACGCTTGTTCACAGAACTCTCCGATCCATCCAGGTCCGCAAATGCATGACCCATCTAGATTATCACATCTGGCACCATTCTGGCAATGGCAGTGCTCCTGGCAGTCTTGTCCATATAAGTTTTTGTTGCAGGGCTCAGCACAAGTGACACCTTGCCATCCTGGAGCACAGGAACAAGCTCCACTAACATGATGACAAGTTCCTCCATTAACACACTGGCACTGTTGCAGGCATTCGTTCCCATAAGATCCTACTGGACACTTTTCTGCACACACTTCCCCAGTCCATCCAGATTTACAAGTGCATATTCCATCGATGTGATCGCATGTGCCATCATTCTGGCATTGACATAACTGTCGGCAGTCTTGTCCGAAAAATCCATCTTGGCAACGTGCACTGCATGCCACGCCAGTCCAACCTGGAAACCAATTACATGAACCATCAACATGGTTACACAATCCACCACTTGTGCAACCACAAAGAAGCTTACAAGCATTGCCGTAACGTCCCTCTGGACATCTGTTTTCACACAAATCTCCTATCCATCCTGGTTGGCATAAACAACTCCCATCGATATGGTTGCACGAAGCATTGTTTCGACAGGCGCAAACTTCCCGGCATTGTAGACCAAAGGAGCTGTCTCCACAAGGGAATTTGCAATCTAGTCCTATCCAACCAGCAGTACACGTGCATGAGCCATCTATGTGGTTGCATGTTCCTCCATTTTCACATTGGCACTGTTGTGAGCATTCAAGCCCATAGAACCCTTCTGGACATTCTTGTTCAAATGTTTCTCCAATAAAACCTTTACCGCACATGCATGATCGATCCACATGAAAACAGGTGCCTCCATTTTGACATCTGCATTCCACAGTACATCCTAATCCATAAGTGTCTGTCGGGCAAACCTCAGTACACAAGTCCCCAGTCCATCCAGGTTGGCCATCCATCCATTCCGTATGAACCTTGTGGACATCTTTCATCGCAGAGATCACCCGTCCACCCAGGACTGCAATCGCAATGACCATCCTTATGATGGCAATGTGCTCCGTTCTGGCACAGGCAATCCGTCCGACAACCTTCGCCAAAGAAGTTTTCTGGACACATCTCAGAACATGTCTCTCCAATCCAGCCTGGTGCACAAAAGCATGAACCACTGGTGTGGCTACAATTCGCACCGTTCACGCAAGAACACACATCTCTGCATTCAAGTCCGTAATACCCCTCCTGACATCCAACATCACAGACTTCCCCCATCCAACCTGATGAACAAGTGCAGGTTCCATCTGTCTGATTACAGTGTGCTCCGTTTTGACATAGGCATTCCTGTGAACACCCAGTTCCGAACGTACCAAGAGGGCATGGTTGGTCACATCTTTGTCCTGTCCAGCCTCGTTCACACGCACAAGAACCATCAGACTGGCATGGTGACCCGTCTGGACAAAGACATTCTTTATCACATAGTGTGCCGGAGAAACCGTTGCGACACGTACAAGAGCCATCTACAGGATCACAAAGAGCAATTTTCGCACAACGGCATCTGAAAGACAAAATAATGTAAAGTTGATCAAACTGTTTGATTCATGCTAACCTCTATAAATGTTAAAATCTAGTGTTTTAATTATTCGCGCAATTACCAGTGATATAGCTTCCATGGTGGTTATTAAACTGAAATCGGAATAATTAGAAAAATTAAGTAATCATTAAATGATCCACTTTCAGTATAGAGTAGAGTCGGGGTAGAAACACAATTATTGTCAGCTAGAGCTTGATAGTCCTACCTAAATTGCCTATACCCTGTGGTTTGTTTCCATGAAAAAAGAGATTTGTTAAATCCGATCGCATGCTGACCGATGCTTGGACTATCTGGCGGCTGGGATACAAATGGGGACCCGTAGATTCGAGTAATGGGTAATAAAAAAAAAAGGTATTTGACAACTGGAAGGAATCGAGGAAGTTAAAAAGCTCTCCTGATAATAGGTTCATGGTAATGAATAAAGATCCGTAATGATTGATTATGTTCATATTAATTAGATAAGTTACCTTTGTTGACAACCCACTCCATAGCGGTGATTAGAACACGGTTGATCACATGACTTGCCATTCCAACCAGCAGTACAGGTACAAGCACCTGACCAACGATTACATGTGGCGCCATTCTGACAGGTACAGGTCTGGGAAGTGGATCATACACATTTAAGATTTTGATTAGATTATGATGATAATCCATCAGTTGGCCATGTGTACAGTGTTGATATCTATGACATTAAACTGATTTGTAATGCATGAAATGGACTCAGGGGCGTATGCAGGGGGGGGGGGCGTTTGGGGGTTCAACCCCCCCCCCCCCCCTTTTGGTATTTTTATGTGTGTAAACCCCCCTAAAAAAACCTAACCCCCCCCCCCCCCTTTGTTTTTTTGTTTTTTTAATTTAAAAAAAAATAATAATAATAATAATAATTATGCCCACGGCTAACGTAAAGTGACCTTACCCCCCACCCAACGAAAAAAAATGTCAAATTTTCAAATTTCGAGACCAAAAAAAAAAAAAAGTGTCTGCTTCGTAAGGATCTCAGTATGACAAGTGAAATGAACTTAATAAAGTACTCATGATGAATGATGAATAACAATCGTTATTGCAAAGACTTTACAAACAAACAACCTTAGGCCATTTCAAAAGCTCTGTGCGTCACCTGATCATAATGTGTGAACGCGGCAATGACATTAGACGTAATCCATACATGATTTCTATACAGGCAACAAAATGGAGTAATAAATTTCACCCTTAAGTTGATTTCTTGAAAGTCTATGTGATCTTGTTAACAGGAATTAATAAGTAACTCCCGGAATGGTGGCTTACCAGTTTACAGCTTCTGCCATAGTGTTGAGCGTCGCATTTCTCCTCGCAGGTTGCCCCTTTCCAGCCCTTGTTACACGAACAGTTTCCAGTTTCTCGGTTGCATTTGGAATTTTTCTTGTGACAGGTACATGTGTTAGCACAACCAACACCCCATGTATTCTTTGGACATTCTACACAGAAAATCAAGAGAATGGGTATTACTATCCAAGGGTGTCCTTAGAAGTGTTGTCGTCTAGTAGATAAGTCACCCGACTGAAGATCGCAAGGTACGGGGTTCGAGTCCCGCCGCGGCACTAATGTCCTTTGGCAAGACTTTAATCTACATTTGCCACTCTCCACCCATGTGTTAAATGGGTACCCGTTATGATGTGAAATTTAATGTGTTTGGATGAGCAAGTGGCGCCTGTAAAATGGCGACTGGCCGGAATGCTCCACAGGGAATGGATAATGTGCTTACAATGTGTGCGGGTTAGCCTGAATCCGATGACCAGGGTAATAACAAGTGCTGCGCCTAGAAACAAAGTATTAGGCGCATTATAAATGTAAGCTATTATTAATCGAGACGTTATGAGGATGAAATTAGAAACTTGTAAATTCATCTTGTGTTATACCTGCCCCCTAAAAGGAACAGTTTGAAGAGCCGATGATGCAACCTGAATATTGATTTAAAAATAAGCGAGTATTGAAATAAGTAATAAGCAATTTAAGATAAAACAAAGAACGACGAAAAAAAATTAAATCAACTACATTTTTGCACTTACTGATTTTTTCTTACGATACAATCTTATCGATATTAAGATTGTTTATTCTGCATCCTTCTTGCAATTAAATAAATTAAAAGTAAACGGAGTTTTATAATACCATTAATCAAGGGAAATGGCATATTTTCATCAAATACGTGAACATAATTCTAACTTATAATAGCAATCTAAAGAGTCGAAAGGGGAAATGGGATAAACAAAAAACGAATCAAGGTTAATTGATGCAAACAAAACATTGGTTACTTTAGATATTCCATGTGATTTGAGTGGGAAATCAATTTTAAAAGAACTTCTTGACAATGATCCAGTACCCTAGCCAAGGAAGGAAATTACCATAAACACTTTATCACTCTCCAACAATCCGACAATAGGACTGGGGTGACAAGTCAGGTGTTTCCTTTCTTGGTTGTTAAACATCCAGAATTATCACCACGCAAGTTTTATAGTTTAAAATTGATTTCAATGAAAATAAACAGGTACTTGTTTGAAGATTGCCAGTAGATTCATAATGGTGGAGGTGCATATGAAATGAAGCCAATTCCGGCCTCGGGACGGCATCTGATGGCTCATTTTTGAATAAAAAACAAATTAAAACAATTTCATGACGATACGTGAAATTTTTGTTCTATAAGGAGCGTAATTTAGACAAATTATCATAGCATAGCTCCAGGTGCACGTGCTCCCCCTCCCCCTCTTGAAAAATATCGAATGGCAGAAGAGAGGGTAATAAATTTGTTTTATTTTTAATTGTTGTCAAATTTATTCATTTAAAGAATGATTGTCCACGATTTTTTTAATTGTCGTTAAAAATATTCATTTTGAATTTGAATAAATTTGTTGTTGTTGTTTGGTATTATTGGCATTTCATTCTTTTTTAGAATATTTACGCCTTTCACTTTTTTCTTTTTTACTATTTGTAAATTCGTACTCTTCTAAAATCATAATTTTTGTTTGTTTGATAATATAATCTCAGATCCACTGGTCCATGAAAATCCCTCACCACAATTGGCACCTTCCTGCCAGACCGGCGCGGTACATTGCGCAATCTTCTCGGCCATCATTGCCCTAGGCAACTCTGGTGCCGGTGAGAGGATTCTGGGGTAGATCTTCAGAGTCTCTTGTTTGGGGTTTACCGTCCTCTATCCCTCTTTACTCTTTCTTTCCTTTTCCCTTCTAGTATTTTTCCTTTTTTTTTCTTAAACCTTATTTTTCTATCAAAGTAGGTATCAACATCTTAGAGCATTTGGTTATCGTGCGATATGTGCAAAAAAAAGGGAAAAAAGATGACATAACTTATATGAGCATAATGCATAAAAATACATCATGTATATCATTACATTTCATATATTTCCAACTAAATCAATGACTTACTTCGAGTGCACTTGCCCCTCTTTTCCAGCCAGCCAGCACAGCAACCAAGAGCTGTAATACCGTATGAATTCCTGTATAGAGACAGAGTTACTACGATTAAAACATTACAAATATATGTCTATCAGCAATCATTCCGGGTACCTATACCTAAAGAGAACAGTTTAAGATTTCAAAATCTAAGCATGGGATCTTGTCATGTCGGTGCGACTTAAAAGCCCAGCGTTGTCGTGTAGTTCATAACATTGTCACTTGGTTCCACCAAGAAAAAATGTTATTAAACCTCTAGAGTCATATTGGTGTTCATGTACTTTTAATACTTAAGTGGTAATTCATCATTTGAAAGGGCCGCGGAGTGACCAATTTTTCTAAATGGTATAGATTTACATAATGTTACCGTTTAAGATGGCCTGGGAGAATATGACAGAGATATTTTGAATTTATTAACAGCATGCTCTCTGCCAAATGATTATTAGGAAAATCAAAGTTTCAATCAAATCGTGGGGGGAAATGAAAAATTAAGAAAATAGAGCATGTGTATTTATGGTGACAGAGAAGGTTCGACAGATGGATTTAAGGAATGGGGCTATAATGAAGGGGATATAAAATTCAATTCAATTCACTTCAATTCAAATTGTATTGATTTAAATCCAAACAAATAGGATCATTCTCAATACTTTTGTTATTCATGGGATAATAGATTTTAAGATTATTGTGTAAAATAGATTGTAAGTAGAGTGCAAGAGTAAAGATAACAATAACCAGGAATGGCATAAATTAACGTACTACTAAATGTCTCTTCTGGAATATAATGCAGGGATGAAAATGATTACTCGTAATACTTTTTACAATTTGTTGTTGTTCGCCTTTTCTTTTCAAATAAAAAGGAAACAAATACAACATGATAGTAAGTCTTACAGCCTTTTCACACACGGGTAAAATTCTTTAAAGCTGATTAGTTTGTGAAAAGGCTGCTTGTATCTGTCCGAACATCGTATAAACGACGTTCACACGGGGAAAAAATTTCTTTAAAGCTTTTTAAAGCTGTTGAGTTAACAACTTTAAACTAATCAGCTCTAGATACGATGAATTTTAGCTGTGTGTGAAAAGGCTCCCTATTCAAAATCCAAACTCGTGGGAGACAGCGAGAACGGGATGACAATCACGGGATGCTTTTTACAATACTCAATTTCATCGAGATTAATGTTATGGTAAACAAACAATCAATGATCTACTAATTTCGTATATGGTCGTACATAGACAGAGTCACGGAGGATGTGGGGTGGGGGTGTTTAGAGAGCGAATAGAAGAAATGACACCGAGAGTAGTTTCAAAATGTAAGTGAGTAGATTTCTTCTACATCATAGAACTATTGATCTTGCATGATATTCGTGACAAATATTAGTGTGTAGAATTAATTATGTGTGTTTCAGTGTAAATGTGATTGTTTTGCGTGTTCACTGATCACACCAAATAACTCTATTTTTATTTTAGCTACGAGGAAGCAAGGTTGCACGGACAATAAAACACATGATAAATAGTATTCCCTTTTCGTTATTTTATTGAGGTGTAAACTGCACACTTGCAAGTGTAGTCAGGCAATATGAATGACTTGGAATAAGAATGACATTAATGAGAAATGAGAATATTGCACGGAGATTAAATGGTCATGTACTAAATGAGATGGACATGAATGAATGCAGTGAATAAATTAAGCTTACGACAAAGTAGGAATGACGTCGAAAGTTCCATGGAAATGATGACGATCGAGTGATGAACGAGGAAAGGGGCTCAGTCACGCGATGATGAAACGGAGGCTTGAAGGCGGAAACGCGACTTCGTTGGCGTGGCTGAAGAGCCGTGAAGAAACGCGATGTCGACGCTGACGCTCGTGATGGTGATGTGATCATGATGATGATCTCGGGCGAGAAGAGAAGTGAAGAAGTGCGCCGCTGTAGAGGAGGCAGTGAGTCGCTCGTTGTCGGAGGCCAAAGAAGAAATGCGGACACCAAGCCAGTGGTGATGCAGAGCAGTGATTAAGAAGCCGTCGGAAAACACATCAACAAACTACGCAGCTGCTTGGCGCTAAACAGATGCTCATCGGTAAACGCGATAAACGCCGATAATTATGATCAGTTTGAATGCGAGGGTTTGGGAATATCAAAATGC